AATATATTATCTTATAAGATTTAAAAAACATTTATTCGACAAAACTGTAAAAATTTCAAAGTTAAATTGCAAGTACAAGAATGTCTTATTTTATAAAATTAAAATAATATTTACTATTGCAAATTTTGAAATGATGTCATCTAATTGCTGGTGGGAATGATTAGACAAATTTTGGTAAGCATTTTACCATCCACACGATATTCCTAACATACATATAAAATTTGACAATAATGGGTCCAGTAGTTTCGGGGATTATCTGTCTGAAAGAATTAATACAGACTGACAGACGACAGACATACGGAAATCAAGATCTACTTTTTCGTACTCTATGTGTCAAGAAACGTCGACAGAACATAAAAGTAGCCATTCGTTGAATGGACCTTATTACCTACAATACTTCCTTACCTCGGGAAGTAAAAATATACTGAAAGACTTGGATAAAACTTACAGTTTTTGGTACCAATTAAAAACTGAACAAGCTGTAAATTCTATACAATTTAATTATATTTTATTTTAAGTAACCTTTTAGTGAAATTTAAAATTTAAATCATGTTATTTTCATCTTTCTTATTTGTCCTTTCAAAATTAACAGAAGTCAAAATTTTTTGCAAAAGTCACTACTTTGCCTTTCATTCTTATTTTCCTACTGCTTAATTTTTCACAACAAAGATCGTGTTCCACTTTTGCGACTTTCAGATAATTTTGCATTTTTTTTTTTTGGCATTAAGACTGAAATATTTATAATAATGTGAAAAACAGTGTTAAATATGGAGAATTAACTAACTGCTGAAAAATTTTTAGAAATTAAAAAAAGTGCTATGGGTAGCTTACGCAGATGTTACGACATACAGTGCGTCTCAAATAAAACCACGCCGCCTTATATCTTGATATATTGAAATTCTTAAACAGGATTCTTTTTAGCTTGAAGAGCGAGACCATTTAATCGCGATTTTATTGGTGTAAAACCAATATATGTTGAATTAGTTTTACATACAGGGTTGTCCAAGAGTGATAATGAGCCTAACTTCTTTAGAAAAGCAGCTCAAAAAAATGTTTAAGACACAAAACAGCAATTTTGCGTTTAAAATGTTGACATACAAGAGATCACTGGAATTTCGTGCCGAACGTTTCCCAAATAGTCTGAGAGCACCTAGACATATAATTTTTGGCTGAAAAGGGAAGGACGGCATTTTGAACATTTGTTGTAGTCGTAGAGTACTGTGTTATAAATTAGCTTTCTTTTTTGGAAACGGTAAATTTGACGTTAATGTTAATCAAACTGACAATGAGAACATGTTAAAACACTTGAATTTTTACAAAAGCATCAAAGAAAGCTGTGCGTTTTGAAGTAATTCGGACTCACCATGACTCGTGAAAAATCCTCTATAAATATATAATACAGGGTTTTTATAAATGATTCTAAGGGCGTAGTTGGCCATGGATTTCAAAAATCCCGCTCCGCTGAAATTATATGTCATTATGATAGTTCTCACTTGTCACTTGTCATTCATGTCATTTGTAACCTGTCATTAAAGTCGTCGTTTTTATTGTTTTAACGTTTTTCAATTGTGAATTACAGTAATTCTCATTGGTCCAATCTCAAAACAACAAAACAGTCGTTTTCAAAATTCTTGGTGGTTGCGTACGAAAATTTTGTGGTTGTGCTAGGAAGCGAATATACTGAAAATGGTTTATTCTGTTGACCAAGACACTTTGATTGTTATGTCTAGTATTGCAATGGGACTTCGTAAACGAAGAGTGTGTGTATTCTTAGAGGTTCACATTAGATATGTAATCAACAGATTTGTTCGAACTGGCAGTGTCAATAAAGGGAAATCTCGTGGAAGACCTTCAGTATCTGAGGAAGTTGTTGATGATTTGAGACGACTTGACCAGAGTCCGCAAACATCTTTGACAAAATTTCCTCAGCAGTCAGGACTTCCTGTTGCAACATGAAATTGAATGGGCATTGACGAATGGATTACAGAACAAAATCGTGAAGATTTTCAACATTCACTGTGATGTTTAATCGTAATAAATTTGTTTATTTTTATTGTAATTTAGTTTTATTTTTTAAAAAGGTATGAAGCATTTAGGCAAACAGTTATACAAGTGCGTGCGGTATCGTGCGCCCTTGGACATTTAGTAAGGTCCAAACTGAGAGGCGGCACGTGTTCATGACCTACTTCGACCCTATAATCATTTATAGAAACCCTGCATAAATTACCTAAATGAAAAGATATATCTAGTTGCCATATAACGTAATAGAAACATAGTGCAAACACAATTACACTATTACTGTTAAATATTTAAGTCAATTACTCTTGACTATATTATTAAATATTAATCGGAGTGGCTTAATAATTTGGAACTCGGAGTCCCTAATTATGAAGCTTAGGATCTAATCAGAACCTGGTTTTAGTCTTTGGCAAAATCAGTCTTATCTTAGCAAGTACTAGCCCCGCCCATCCACCCTCTCTTTTCTTAGAGGGTATGTTATTTGCCAAAATCAGTCGTCTCTTGGCAAGTACTAGTCCCGCCCACCCACCCTCTCTTTTCTGAGAGGATATGTTATTTGCCAAAATCAGTCGTATCTTGGCAAGCACTAGCCCCGCCCACCCACCCTTTATTTTCTTAGAGAGTATGCCATTTGCCAAAATCAGTCGTATCTTAGCAAGTGTCTTTAAAAAAAGAATTTAAAATCTTGAGAGCCCTTGATGTTTGATTGTTGAAAGAATTTAAAAGATTCTTAGGGGTCCAATGTTGGTTTATTTTAGAACGAAATTGAAAGCATCTTAGATGTGCTAGTCTCTAGGGGCCTCTAGATTTTACATTTTTTGAGAGAATTTAGAAAAATCTTTGGGCGTCTTCGTGTGTTTCTTAAAATTCAGAAAAAAATCTTTAGAGCTTGTTAGGTTTAATTTCTAAACGAATTTGAAAGAATCTTGAGTCCTATAGTGTCTTTAAAAATAGAATTGAAAAGAATCTTGAACTCCTTTAGTTTCTTTTTTTTAAGAATTTCAAAGAATCGGGGAGCCCCTGATTGATTTTTTATCTTTTCAAGCTTTTACGGAAATTTAAAAGAACCTTGGACTTTCACGTTTCACTTAGCACTTGCTAAGATAAGACTGATTGTGGCATATGACGTACCCCCTAAGAAAATGGAGGGCGGGTGGGCGGGCCAGGTACCTGCTAAGATAAGACTGGCTTTGGCAAATGAGATACCTTCCAAAAAAAGAGAGGGCGGGTGGGCGGGGCTAGTACCTGTTAAGATAAAACTGATTTTGGCAGATGACATACCCTCTAAGAAACGAGACGGTGGGTGGGGGGGGGCAAGTACTAGTTAAGAAAACGCTGATTGTGGCGAATGACATAGTCTCTAAGAAAATAGAGGGCGATTTGGCGGGTCTAATACTTGCTAAGATAAGAATGATTTTGCCAAATGACATACTTTCTACAAAAATAAAGGGCGGGTGGGCGGGGCTACTAGTTCCTAAGATAAGAAAGGTTTGTCGTTGTTGATCTGCAATTTAAAAACCATTCTGATGTGCTGATACATAACTTTTCTTACAGAATAAGTATAATAATGTAGAATTAATTCGAAAATTTTAAAAAAATTTGAAAGGAGGGAAATCCGTCTGCAATTTTCAACTTTAGATACATCACCGGACTTCAAGACAAGACAGACCTTAGATTATTTTCACTTTGTAGGGAAAACCCATGTTTCAAGAGATTTATTAAATATTAATAGGAGTGGCTTAATAATTTGGAACTCGCAAGTCCTAATTATGAAGATTGGGATCTGATCAGAACCTGGTTTTAGTCTTTGGCAAAATCACTCTTATCTTAGCAAGTACTATATACTACCACAATTGTTTAATAATAAACGATGCCGTCATATATGCAATATATTGAATTAATCTTCCGCTTCCAAGCTAATATAATTGTGTTTACAGAATTCCAATATTTCTATCCGTTTCTCTGGGATAAATTTCAAAACTGTCAAATTATCACCAAATTATGACAGTTGATAAAGCACGGGAATAATTTTTAAAATACCTTGTTGATATCAGGTCACCCTGTCAAAGACTAAGTGTTATAAGAAAGGATGTTCGAGAGGATATTCCAACACGACTCCAAATTCATTGATCTTATACAAAGAGGTTATAAAAGTGGTCCTAGAAACGCACTAAACCACAAACGACTAGAAGAGATTTTAACTGAAATAAAGACGCTTTTAAATCTTTTGAACTTGATAGCTGTACTAAGTACTAAATAGATCCTAGAACAATCGAAATTACAACAAAAATTGAAATTTTGGTTATACATCGGTAAAGTTGCCTGTATTTTAATGTTTAATACCAGATACTCGTAATAAATTTCCTCGACTCTGTTAAACTTTTTGTCACAATTGGCTTAAATCTCACTTCGAGTAAACACGTTTAATGTGTAAATGCGACAGCTATTCATAGAACGCCATATTAAAAATTTTAAAAACAGCCAGCCGCAGCCACACTGTAATGACGTCAATGAATGCAATGTCATATATAGTAAAGTTGTAATTTAGTATGTAAACTTCGTTTTAGTCAAATTAAAGCTACCTAGTAGAATATTTTATTTATTATTTTGGTATGGAATGGCCCTATTAAGAATTCAATTTCCACAACTATTATTTCAGTGATAGTGAGGAGGTTAAAACTGTGGTGGAGGCGCCGGGTTGTGTTTTACTGTGGGCACGTTCAGTCATAACAATAAGCACGGTATTAATCACAACTGCAATAACATACCATAACATTCATGCATGGACTTGATCTTGTGCAATATTACCAAGGAAACACTCGGCTTTGCATCGGATAAATTTTTCATTAGTCTAAAATTAAAAGAAACGACACAAAGAGAAAACGAGACAGCAAGGAAATTAATTCAACGTTTCTAAGGTTGAGCTTGTCTAAATGGACACTTTTATCGGCCGACTGAGTTTAAACAAAAACGGTCCGTACCTGGAATTGCTCCGCTTGCTGCTGTCCTTCTTGCCGGCTTGCAGATTGGGCAGGTCCTTCTGTCTCTTTTCCGTTTCCCGCCAGATACGCCAGTACAGAAAACACATAACTGTGACGGGAACATAGAAAGCGGCAATGGCTGTTCCGAAAGTGATGTAGTGGTTCGTTTCGATGAATTGAATATAACATTCCTTTTCAGGTACAGTCCTTTCGCCTTCGATGTATGGCCAACTGTAGATCCAGGGTGGCCACAACAGCAAACTAATACCCCAAGCGCATCTGAAAAGAGATTCGATTCCCTTTTATATATACGATGGAGATGTTATTATGGTTACGCGCACAGGTCACTGAATAATTCCGGCACTTCGTCTGATTCGAATCCTACTGTACGTCAACCCGTTTGTACTTTAAGGCGCGGTTACAGCATGCATAATTTGCGCCCAATCTCATTCTGGGACCGTAAGACTCGACGGTGCATCGTATAATCCGACCTTAATCATTGCGTGTGATGTGGTGTGACTACATTTATGAAATTCCGAGAATTATTGCCAGACGTAGCGCCCAGACTTGATTACGCATAAACAGAAGGAATTAAATGACAGACATACAAACAATATGTGGTTAAGAAATTGAAGCGGTGATCTACTAACAGTAGTTTCATGATCGAGTATATTATTATTGGTCAAAGAAAGTTTTTTTTAATACGAACAATTTTTTGGACATGGCTTCTCATGCTTCACCTTAGTTTTTTTCTGCAAAATAGGTGCCATATAAAAATATCTCTGTTGGAGTGCTGCAGGGCTTTATTTTGGGGCCAGTATCCTTCATCATGTTTATCGTTGATTTACTGGCTAATACTCACGCAAAAACTGCCGTCTTATTGGTAGATGGCACTGCTCAACGAACTGCAGATTTGTATGGAAACATTGTTGCTAAATGTCACTGATTAACCATGAACTAGAAAAACATGAAATTTAATTTTTTTCGATTGAACTTGTAACATGCCATTGAGCATTTCTACCTAGACAAAAGTTGCTCTGGCAAGTTAATATCATTATAGAAATAATTACTGGAGGAAATATTCATAAAGAAACATTTTCGGCATTTTAAATATTTTCAAAAATCCTTGACGTTTCATCCTGACACAAAAATTTTGTCAAAAATGTTTTAAAAAAGTCAGTTCAAGACAATTTATTAAAAAAAGCTGCCGTATTTTATAATACAAAGTATACAGAGTTTTCAATTTTCAGTAGTTTATCTTTTTAACTACTAAAACTTAGAAATGTGAGCGAATCTTGGTTAGATGAACATTGATAAACGTCGAGTATGTAGGAAGGCGATGTTGTTATGGTTACGAACACAGGTCACTGAATAAATAATTCTAGCACTTCGCCTGATTCAATCCTACTATACGTCAACCCGTTTGTACTTTAAGACCTGGTTAGACTATGCATAATTTGGCGTCCAGTTTCATTCTAGGAAGGTACGATTCAATGTTGCATTATATAATCTGAGCTTAATCACTACGTCTCATGTGGTTTGACGAGACTTATGAAATTGCGAGCGAGATTGTGAAAATTGTTGTCAGATTGCCGCGTAGATTTGCTGTGAGATCTCTAAAATGCCACTAGTTCTAAAATATATTTTATCTACCAGGGAAATTAAATTATCGATTTATAGCAAACTAGAAAAGTTTTCGTTAATTTACTGAAAAATAAAATTTGACAAAATGTCTATCTTACTTTCAGTTATCTTAAATGCAGATGTACCATAAGATAGTTTAAATTCAGTAATAATTGTGTTAGAAACTTGTCGTACTATGCCCAAATTTTTCAAACAACAAAATCACGTTTTCACTCCAACTAAGCTAGATCAGAGTATCATAAGTTTCTTGTCAGGGCATACGTGAGATGGAAAGATAAATTTTGTCGTCAGTGCAATACCAGGGAGCGTTAATACAAATATGATAGAACCACCAGAAACCAGAATAAATTGTTGTTTCACGTTACATCGTGTCATTGGCTTTGATAAAATACTGTTAAAAAATTTTTGAGCAAAATAAAGATAAAATTTAAGAAAACACTTCAACATTTCTGTGAGGTTATGTTTAAGCAGTTTTAAGAACCTTTAACTGTCGAAAATTACGACTTCATCAACACTTTTTTTACTGATGGGAAAAACATAAATTATTATTTAAAACCAACGAAAAACTTGAATTTGGGTTTCTACGTTTACGTAACCTAAATAAAATTGTAGAAAACGTGGCAAAAAGTACTAAAATTGCATTTTCTCAAATTTCAGCCATCTACTCCAAAACGTGAAGACAGATCAAAATGATCTTGTCAGAGTCTGAGACAATTTAAATTCATTTGAATATGTTTGTGATATCCAGAATACGTAGAATTCGAAATTTCACACTACTTATATGCCGGGTTATATTTTGTTTCATCTTCGTTTGGCTTCATTATTCACAGTTTTAACATCGAATATCTGTAAAATTTCTGTCGCTCATTGCTTTTCTTAATCCCTTGTTTCCACATTGTCTTCGTCTTATTCATTTTTTTTTCTTTCAGTACCTGTTTTAATGTAATCTTTCGTTGTTTATCTTTTTTTTTTCGTGATTTCTTTCATGACAATTTTTAATACACGTTCATTTATTACTCGTTGTCTTTTCGAGATTCCACATAATCTTCTGAGAACGTCCATCTCAACTGTTGTTATTTGTTTTTTTGTCAGTTTTTGTTAGCTTCCATGTTTCCTCTCAATATAACGTTATTATATTATTATGTACATATTTTCTTCCTCTTTAGGAAATTCCATTATGCTACCATATTCCATTCAGTCTTTTAATAGCTCGTCGTCTTGTTTCTAAGGAATCTTGTCCTTCGTTGTTTGTGACATGACTTGATTTTGTCGTTGTTTCATATACATATGTATTTTGTCTTCGTTGCATACAAGGGTCTCAGATGGCAGTCCGTAACGTTATATCGTGAGAACACATTGAAACATTGAAATTCTGTAAACGCCACTGTTTGGTGACGCAAATTTATATTAAATTATTATTAAATTACGATTACAATTATATAAATCACTTAAGGGTTTGTTTAATTTTCAGTTGATAAAAAAAATTAAATTTGTAAATATAAAAAAAGTTGAAGTGGAGTGAATTAAAGAATTATCGATTTATTTTAGAAACAACTATTAATATTTGTTTCAAAAAGAGGTCATTTGAGCATACTTTCCTCCATCGTATATTGTGGTCCTTTACACTGGACACATAACTTCTTTTTAGTTCACAACTTTTCGCGGTTAATAGAGTATGAATGAAGCACGAATTTTTTTTTTTTCGTTTATATATTACCAGGAAAGGAAATCTAACATACGTTAAATCTGGAATGCAAGCTGACCATGGAGTGTTGCCGACCCAATTTTCATTGTTAAAGATTTAAAAACTTGAACTATATATTTTCGACAGGCACCAAAGAAAATTGTTCCAGTCCAAGATTTCCGATCTTAAAAGTTAGAAACAGTAGATACTTAGGTACCTGCGGTGCACATCTATTTCTACGACACGATATGGCAACTAGGTATATCGCTTGATTATCTTCTCTGTTCTATAATTACTCATGCTTGAGTGCATCTTCTACCAACAGTGTATGTATTCATTCCTTGGAATTTTCGATCTAGTGTTTGTCTGACTAATTTTCTTACTTTCCTTAAAACTTTTATATATCTACATTTTTCGGTCTTGATTGCTTTTCTTCGTTTAATTTGTGTTCTAGACTCTTCGTCCACCACATTTCGAACTTCCTTGACTTTTTCTTTTGTTACAAAGTGCTTAAGTTATAACGTATTTATGTATATGTGTCCATTAAACTTTGTTGATGTTAATCTTCCCTCTTCAAGCTTTTCTACATTATGTTTAAGGCCCGAAATGTAGGCAAAACCAACTGTATTTATTAATCTCCAAGGCAAAAATATGGGTGCTATAACTTGAACCCCTTTGTCTCTGTTTGGGTATGAACCGATTTGAAGGCATTTTTTTTTTGTTTGAAAGCTAGTTTAATCGACAAGTTCTTACGAGGGTAGATTTCAAGTGGGCTTCACATAGTTGACGTTTCTACACTATCACCAACACATTCTGTCAATTCTTCGTTTAGGAATTAACTGAATATTAATGTACCAAGTGATTTTTAAAAATGGAGAAACTTGCAGTTCGTAGTGTGATTCAGATCTTCTTTTTAGAAGGGAAAACTACGAAAGAAATACATGAACAGATTTCGCCAATAACACGTGGGGCTGGTGTGTCTGGATGCCAAACCTTAGGCCGACTAGTGCCGGTGAAATAGTAACACGTATGGCCAACCTAGGCTTATGAGGTCACTTTCATGCCACAGAGGATGGCGCCTTGGGTAGGGAGCGGCAGTACTCGGGCGTCAGCTCCCTCTCCGGAGAGGGAGCACCGCGGTTGCTCTGAAGCCGGAGACACGGATCTCCAGGTGGTCTAGTGAGCACCGCGGAAACAAGAAATAAAACGTAGATAAACTAACAATAATCGGGTTTTTATTCCCTGCCACCAGCTACACGGCTAAAATAATCTTACGGTTAAAATAATTTCAAATAATTATTACAAGACGGTTTTACAAAAAATCATAAACAAAAAGAATTAAACGTCCGACACGGTTTTTCCCTTCTGGACGATGACTTCCTTTGGGACGGGCTACTCCTGGTCTTGGGGGCGGCGACACTGGAACAGGAAATCACGCGGGAACGGTACGACGACACGTGACGGCGGTACGGTTTTTTCGCTCGGGGGCGGCGATTCGAAATCAGTAGGCAAAAAGACAGAAAATCCAAAACGGTATTTAGGTGGTCCGTTCTTATAGGGGTTCTGCACCTTTCACTAATTACACTTTGGAAAATAGCCACAGCAACGAGCCAGACACTTCTAAACCCATCCAGGCTTCAAGAACGAATCCCTTTCCGACTCTCGGTACTCGCAGTTTCCAGTCCGCGAAAATTCGTTTCGTTAAAACATTCGTCTTTAAGTTAATGAGTTCAAGCGCAGGAAAATATCCGCTGAACGCGCACCACGCTCTTGAGGTCGAAATACTGCCGTCATACCAAACATTATTGAGAAAGTTCAGGTTTTGGTCGATAGATAAATTCGTGAGTTATAGCAGCAGTTGGAAACGCTTCAACTGAGAGTGCATTTTATTAAGCTCCGACGCTAAAAAAGAGGTGTTATAACTTTAAAGCCTTTGTCTGTCTGCCTGCTGGTGTCATTCTGTATGTAGCTCCTAAAGGGATGAACTGATTTCAGTAGTTTTTTTTTTTTTTTTGTTTGAAAGCTGGTTTGATCAGGATGGTTCTTAGCTGTGTTTGATGATAATCACTTTAGTCATTTCAGGATCATCAGGTCAACTGTTGCAACGTCGTATTCTTCTTCTACTAACTAGCTTAAAATTCTTCTAAACAATCAACAAAAATTCTGATTTCTTTATATATTCCGATGTTATTTCTATTGTTTCACTTTCTAGTTTACGTGTGTACTTCGTTCAATTCCGGTATTTTCTCTGCCAGTAATTCTTTTTGATACTTCTCTCGTTCAACACAGATGAAGTAAAAATTGATTTTCTTCTTTGTTTTTCTATAAATGTCCAATCTTCAGTACACCATGTACTTTTTATAGCTTTGGTATACATTTTTCGCTTTTCACTATTCTCACTACTTATCCTAATCCATTTTAAAATAAGTATGAGTGCTTCTTTCCGTTTATTTCGTGTCCTAGGCTTTTCTTCTACCACTATTTCGTTCTTCCTTGACTTATTTCTTTTATTCCCAATACCTCATTTGCGGCTTGTTTATGTGCATATGTTCATGTCATTCGTATGCATCTTCATACTTTTTTCCATCAACTGTGGGTCTAGTCTTTGTTGCTACGCTTTTCTTAAACTCCTTTTTCAAGCCCTTCTACATTTGACAATTAGAAAAATTACGTTCCGTACAACGTATTTACACCGCATTTTTCTATGTTTCTATAGATATAACAGTTTTTTCTATGTTTTGCGTGCTGTACGTTCTGCGGAACGTGGTTTCGGTAATTGTCTATTATATGTAGAAAAGGTCCGGCAAAATAGACGAATTTTATTTTTTAACGTACATTAACGAAACTTACGATATAAATAGAGTAATATGAATTTTCCCTAATTTGTGTTAAGTGCTTATTCCGTCTTTTAATTTTGCCCTTTTTCTTAATATAAATAGTCGTCTTTTCTTGTTTAATCTTTGTTTTTTTTTAATATAGAGTTTTGTTTCAATAACGGGATGATTTTTAACATGTTTTCACTTCCTTGTTGCGAAAAAAAAGACTTCGCATAGTAAGAAAAAAGGACAAAACGTAAGCCCCGCCCACCCACCCTTTCTCAATTGTGATGATTTTTTTATTTATTGTGAGCTCATTTCTCTACAAGAAATTACGATATGAAATATGTTTTTTAAAGGGTAGAATTTTCTAGAAAAATTTTGATATTACAATTAAACTTCGCCCGTCGCGTCGGTCTGATTAAGGAGAAAACCATCACAATTGAGATAGGGCGGGTGGGCGGGCCTTATATTTTGGCCTTTTCCTTAATATAGATAGTCATCCTTTCTTGTTTAATCTTTGTTTTTTTTTATATAGAGTTTTGTTTCAATAACAGGATGATTTTTAACATGTTTTCACTTCCTTGTTGCGAAAAAAAAGACTTCGCATATTAAGAAAAAAGGACCAAACGTAAGCCCCGCCCACCCACCCTTTCTCAATTGTGATGAATTTTTTATTAATCGTGAGCTCATTTCTCTACAAGAAATTACGATATGAAATATGTTTTTTAAAGGCTAAAATTTCCTAGAAAAATTTTGATATTACAATTAAACTTCGCCCGTCGGTCTAATTAAGAATGAAAAAAACATCACAATTGAGGTAGGGCGGGCGGGCGGGCCTTATATTTTGGCCTTTTTACTTAATATAGATAGTCATCTTTTCTTGTTTAATCTTTGTTTTCTTTTAATATAGAGTTTTGTTTCAATAACAGGATGATATTTAACATGTTTTCACTTTTTTGTTGCGAAAAAAAAAGACTTCGCATATTAAAAAAAAAAGGACCAAACGTAAGCCCCGCCCACCCACCCTTTCTCAATTGTGATGAATTTTTTATTTATCGTGAGCTCATTTCTCTACAAGAAATTACGATATGAAATATGTTTTTTAAAGGGTAGAATTTTCTAGAAAAATTTTGATATTACAATTAAACTTCGCCCGTCGGTCTAATTAAGAATGAAAAAAACATCACAATTGAGGTAGGGCGGGCGGGCGGGCCTTATATTTTGGCCTTTTTACTTAATATAGATAGTCATCTTTTCTTGTTTAATCTTTGTTTTCTTTTAATATAGAGTTTTGTTTCAATAACAGGATGATATTTAACATGTTTTCACTTATTTATTGCGAAAAAAAAGACTTCGCATATTAAGAAATAAAGGACCAAACGTAAGCCCCGCCCACCCACCTTTTCTCAATCGTGATCAATTTTTTATTCATCGTGAGTTCATTTCTCTACAAGAAATTACGATATGAAATATGTTTTTTAAAGGGTAGAATTTTCTAGAAAAATTTTGATATTACAATTAAACTTCGCCCGTCGGTCTGATTAAAAATGAAAAAACCATGATAATTGAGATAGGGCGGGTGGACGGGCCTTATATTTTGGCCTTTTTCTTAATATAGATAGTCATCTTTTCTTGTTTAATCTTTGTTTTTTTTTAATATAGAGTTTTGTTTCAATAACAGGATGATATTTAACATGTTTTCACTTTCTTGTTGCGAAAAAAAAAAGACTTCGCATATTAAGAAAAAGAGGACCAAACGTAAGCCCCGCCCACCCACCCTTTCTCAATTGTGATGAATTTTTTATTCATCGTGAGCTCATTTCTCTGCAAGAAATTACGATATGAAATATGTTTTTTAAAGAGTAGAATTTTCTAGAAAAATTTTGATATTACAATTAATCATCGCCCCACGGTCTGATTAGGAATGAAAAAATCAACACAATTGAGAAAGGGCGGGTGGGCGTACCTTATATTTTGCCATTTTTCTTAATATAGGTAGTCGTCTCTTCTTGTTTTTTCTTTGTTTTTTTTAATATAGAGTTTTATTTCAGTAACAGGATGATTTTCAGTTTCTTGTTGGGAAAAAAAGACTTCGTATATTAAGAAAAAATGGACAAAATATAACCCCACCCACCCACCCTTTCAATTGTGATGAATTTTTTATTCATCGTGAGTTCATTTGTCTACAAGAAATTACGATATGAGATATGTTTTTAAAAGAGTAGTATTTTCTAGAAAAATTTTGATATTACAATTAAACTTTGCCCCTCGGTCTGATTAGGAATGAAAAAATCATCACAATTGAGATAGGGCGGGTGGGCGGGCCTTATATTTTGGCCTTTTTCTTAATATAGATAGTCATCTTTTCTTGTTTAATCTTTGTTTTTTTTTAATATAGAGTTTTGTTTCAATAACAGGCTGATATTTAACATGTTTTCACTTTCTTGTTGCGAAAACAGTTCAGGAAGTGTATTTCTAAGAAAATGAAGATAAACGTCGCCTGTAAGTCGTCGTGGAGGCACGATTGGAGCAATTAAGTAGTTTCCAATTCTACTAGCCCAAACGTTGATTCTAAATTGCTCTTAATGATGAAAGCAACGTATGGAATGAAATTTGTTTGGTCAAATATGCATATATATAACTCCATCCCTCGTAAAAGAAGCTTTAGTCGTAAACATAACAACTATTTGCAGGAAATAAATTGTCATTGTGGTACTGCTGTAATATACTAAATCTACAAGCTTCAAAAACTGCACTTTCTGAGCATGGTATGGATAGAATAATTATTCCTTTAATATCCGCCAAACTGAAGTAGGATAAATATGAACATTAAGCAGCATTCTCCTAATGTGGATGATTTAATAGAAGTCATATCCAAACTTTGGTCCACAATTTCCAAAACATCCTGTATATGTTTGCTTCTATGACGTCATGTGACGTGGATTTTAGTATAAATTTTAGGACAAGACTGACTTCTATTAGTTATAATTTAAATATCGTTTTAAAATGAGCATTAAAAAATAAGACACTATCTGAAATCAAAGATAAATAAATTACTTGAACATAAATATACCTAGCGTGCTGTCATAAACAAGGTTACCCTTGCAAACCGATAATATTCACAGTTCATTTCGTGATATTTCTGTCGAAATTTTGCGTAAAACACGAGAACATCGTCTATTTAAAAATAATGTTTAAACTGATAAATCGTTAAACGCCCACCTTCCTATCTTCCTAGGGATATGTTCCATAACTCCTCTCGATTAATAAATAATCGAAATAAGCACATAAACATCCTGCTAAATAATGCATCGTGTAAACCGGCCTTTACGTCTCGAGAAAATGTTATTCCGTCACTTTAGATACCGTAATTTGCACACAATTGCAAGCGTGCATCAAACCCAGTAATAAAATGAAGGACGGATCCGTTCCGATTTATTTCACGACTGTTACAATCCAATAATTTTTCCCACTTCAATATTTTATACGGTTGGATTTTATGGGCGGTCGTAATAAAATGTGCTCGGATATACAAGAGCCAGAAAGTCAACAGAAAACAGATCGCGAGCCTATTATGAAGCCACTTACGCTATCATGATGGCTGCTCGGTTGGTGGTTCTTTTGGCACGATACGTGAGCGGTCTGGTCACCGAGAAGTAGCGATCAAAGCTGATGATGAGCAAGTTGAGCACGGAGGCATTGCTGGCGAGGTAATCGAGAGCTAGCCAAGTGTCGCAGACTAGGGGTCCCAGAGGCCAGTAGCCGAGGAGGGTGGACACGGTGAACAAGGGCATGGAAATTAGACCGATGGCGAAGTCGGCCACAGCCAGCGAAAAAAGGAAGTAGTTGCTTATGGTCTGCAGTTGTTTGTCGATCTTGAAGGAGATCATCACCATTATGTTGCCCACGACTGTTACCACGGACAGGATTCCGGCTGCAAAAAATATTCGCTTGTAGATGGAGTTAAATTTCTCGGAATAATAGTTGACAGTCATTTGGAGGGTGCTACTTATACGGACACTTTACTTTCCCGGGTTAATAAAGCGTGTTACGTAATACGTATGCTGGGAAACGAACTTTCTTTAGGTCGTGTTATAAAGTGCGGTCAAGTAGGGACTACACGTTCGATTGTTTTGCTCGACCTACAAAGTTACTTGCTAAATTTGACGGAATGTTGCAAATCTAAAAGCGTCCACGCGTTATATAAATAATTTACTTTGTACGTGTAGCAAAATGTTCGAACTTCCACTCCCTATTTGACGTCGTTTTTCTGTTTCTTTTATGTTATAGTACTACTCTTGTATTAAGGACAATGTTATTGTCATAGACATTACGGAAATATTATTTTAGAAGTCTAATCTTATGTGATGTGTAATATAGTAGTAACTTTAATGACCATTTAGTGTTCAGCTAGCGTTTTTAGGGTGGATAAAAATTAAATTAAAACTAATTTCTGTAATTTGAAGTAGGAAAACAGTAACACTAACATTAAAATGTCGTTTCGATACTTCATCGTTATACGGTATGTGGCGAGTGGTTGGAAATAATGATCTAGTTTACTTAATTAACAAATATGTTCCAGCTTTAAAGAAATATCTACCAGTATTTCAAATATCGACACTCCGGGAAAATCGAAAAACAATAACATATTTTTAAATTTTCTATCTAGTTAAGATAAAAAATGCGAGAAAATTGATGTGAAGGAACTATTGTTATTATTATTGTTGGGATCTTTAGACCCTATTAGCCATCATAGTAAAATTTTCTTAGTTTAGTGAAAAACATTGTTTAGTCAAATTTTTCAAATTTCTTTTTAGGGTACACTTTTATAAACTTTTCCAGTGGGTTTAAGAAAGGTATATATTTTTTTAATTAAATTGTCATTTCCGAAAAAATTTATTAAAAGCTTTAAATGAGTTTATCGATCTCGTATTAATAGCAAATGAGGATTTTCTGCACTTCACATCCTCATATTTTGCGAATTTATTATTAGATGAAACCAGGTTTCATTCCTAAATATCGGTCGAAGATTATTTCGACAGAACTTCTCTCGCCTATAAAGTACAACTTGTCAAATCCAGCTCTTTCGAAAAATTAAAAGATTTGATTTTGCGAATTTTATTGTTTAATCATTATAGGCTAAAACAAAAATATGTATCTAATGTTTGAGTAAAGGTAAAGAAACGTGCTAACCGTTTATTACAAGTATTATCAGTTTGATTTCCGATGTTGTAATTCACATTTGGTTATAATTATAACTTGTTTATATCTAGGAGAGGCTCAGCACCCCTAGTCTCCCCCTAACTACGACCTTGTCTAGAGGTTATGAAATATCAAAAAAATATGAAAGTACCAAATTTCCCGATGGACTCCATTACCGTACATCCTTAGGTTATCCTCGAAAAGAAAAACAACTTGAAAGTGTTTATGTTTCTACATCGGAAGAATGTCACGTAGAAATTAGTTTGATTTGAATGAGTTCGTCCCCTCAAAACAAAGGATCAAAATTATTAGGTAAATAGTAAGCTACAATCGTCAAAATGTTCTGAATACCATTATTATAATTCTTATTAAATAAAGACGCTTGTATTTTCACATTTTCGGGAAAATGGGGTGACTCCTTCTTAATTTGATCATAAAAAATTTACCATGCTTACAATGACTTTAAAATGTTTGTAAGATTTCAAAGCATTCGATTTTGTAGTCCCTGATTAAATCAATAAAATAAATTCAAACATTCATTAATTTTTTTGAGTCACCCTGTATAAGCAAATCCAAAAAATCTCAATCAAATGATATATCACAAGTGCAGACTCATCATATTTTGTACATTTTAAATACGATTTATTCGTCATCAATTTTTTGGAGGGGATAAGTAAATATATTTTGATTAAAAGTTTGTCATGCTTATCACAACTTTAAAACACCTACAAGATTTCAAAGCATTCGGTTTTCCAGATTCAAAATTAAATTCGGGTAAAAGTTCAACACGGGGTCATATGTGTAGGATTATGTTATTTTATGCAATTTAAAACCCATTTACTATGTAGAATTTTGAAATGATGCCATCACATCTTTGGTGAGGATGACTAGGCAAATTTTTGTTAGCCTGTTACCATCTACATGATATTCCTAATATAAATACAAAATTTTACAACAATCGGCCCAGTACTTTTGGAGATTATCTGTCTAATAAAAATCTGCTTTCTTAGGTAAATGATAAACGTTGACCGTGTAAATTTTATTTTTTGTAATAAGATCTATCTACATATTAAAATAAAAATTAATAATTTAATAGTAATTTCAGTGTTTTGCGAAAATTGGATAAACTATTTTTGACTTAAACCAAATTCATTGATTTTTACTTCCCGAGCGTAAGCGAAGAACGCTTCATCCCGATTGTCGCCAAAATGTAAAAATATAGTAATGTCGCACCCGCCTATATTTAATAATAATAAAATAATAATCATGTGAATAACAGTTCACCCAAAATTATATTCGGCCCGTTCTGTTCCATTGTAGCTTGATTAACTAAATTAGTCCTCTCCTTATGAGACAAGCCATTTAAAAATTTCATTATCTTTTAACGCACATGTTTGCTATCAAAACGTGCTAACAGTCGAATTCTTTCGAAGTATAAACATAAACAGTCGAATTTACGCAAGTACTGAAATAGTGAGACACCATGTTTTCCCGTTGGTTATCTGTTTCAGGAGCTGCGAGGGTGTTATTTACGCCACTAGTTTTTATTTCATGGAGGCGATCACACAACAAAAATCGAAAAATCAAATATTATAACTTTGCGGAGAAGTGGGATTTGTTATACTGTACTTCAAAGGCGAGGGAAGTTCTCTCGAAATAGCCCTCGACCAATGTTCTAAAAATCATTCTATACCTACAAATAATTGTAAAATGGCATACAGCAAAATTTGCTTGAACAAATGTAATTTTTAGAAATTAATTTTATAAAACCATGGAGTCAAAAATAAATTCCAAGCAAAATTTATACTAAAAACGGATGATTCTGATTAGTGATTAGCGATTTACCACGTTCACGATGACCTAAAGTATGTACAAAATTTCAGAAGAATTTTTTGTGTTGTAATTTCTATGTTAAGTGGTAAAATTTGGTTGTAGAATTTTTACTTTTTCGAAAATCTACATCCATTACTCTATTACTTCCACTACAAAAATTTGTTGTGGATGTCATCAAGCTTCTAACAAGGACACGTATATCAATTTGGACAATAACACATTACATTCACAAATTTTCTGAAAAATTGGGTGGATAAAATTAAAATAACCCTTGTAATTTAAAATATAGATATGTATGGACTGCAAGGTACAAAAGTAAACCAGTCACAATGTAAGGAAAATATGGATATTCGGTGATTAAACCTCAGAGCTTTCAGATGCAAAATTAATGCGACTGACACTGAGCATGGCAATGTTACATCTGGTTGGTATTACATATATATTGAAAGACTAGTTTTACTCCACGAAATATTGAATAATGAAAATTATAATAATAACAAACAAACTCAAAGCAAATTCAGACACCATAAATACAGAAGTATGTTATTTTATAAAATTTTATCTGGCAAAAAAATAAACCTTAAATTTTACGATTTATATCTAAGGTTTAAAAGAAGATCGTTTCAAAATTTAGGTAAAATTCTAGCACAAGTTAACGGATTATAGAACTTTACCTGAAGTTTATTTTTTGTTCATCTCATAAATACGTCTTGAATGCGATTTTAATTTTACATAGTATACTCAAAAAATTATATATGGAACAATTTATTTTAACAATGTTTCTAGAAATATTCATCTAATTTTGTTCTTCCTTTTAACGTCGAGTTTTAATGAGTCTCAAAAGGTGTTCATTCCATTTTGAAATTTTTGAGATGGAATGAAATGGTCTTAAAAGTTAGAGGAAAAATTGCAACGTTATCGAAAAAATGAAAAGTATTTCAAATATTAGCTTTTATGTGCGACAGACTTGTTAAATAAAATTTTAAACTTCCTTAATAAAAGAAAAAGAAGAATAAATTATGCAAAAAATGGCATGCATGAGAGTTAAAGACTGGTACCATTATGGGCTTAATACAGTGTGTTTCATATCAACTGATTTGTTAAAAGTTTTACCTACCAACCTTGGAAATAAAATTGACAGAAAGAAATTTTATCACTTCCGATTTCGCTGCAAATGAAAACAACTTTTTTAAGACGGGTTATCCCTTTTTATTAATTTTTGAAAAGTAAGTTTATTATTGACTCAATAAAATTTTTCGAATTTGGCGAATAACATACCCTCGAAAAAAAGAGAGGGCGGGTGGGCGGGGTTAGTACTTACTAAGATAAATGTGATTTTGACAAATGAGACACCCTTCTATTTTCCTAGAAAGCATCATTTGCCAAAATCAGTCTTGTCTTAATAAGTAACGCTTAGAGGGTATGTTATTCGCCAAAATCAGTCTCCTCTTAGCAAGTAGTAGCCCCGCCCACCCACCCATTATTTTCTTGAGGGCATATCATTTGAAAAAGTCAGTCTCATCTTAGTAAAAACTAGCCCCGCCCACCCGCCTTCTATTTCTTTAGAGCATATTTCATTTGCCAAAATTAGTCGTATCTTACCTGCTTACCTGTCCTCTATTTTCTTGAGGGGGGGGGGCAGTATTTACTAAGATAAGATTGACTTTTTCAAATGATATAAGCTATAAGAAAATAGAGGGTGGGTGGGCGGGGCTAGTACTTGTTAAGGGAATACTGATTTTGGCGAATAACCTACTCTCGAAAAAAAGAGACGGCGGGTGGGCGGGGTTAGTACTTATTAAGATAAGACTGATGATGGCAAACGATACACCCTTCTATTTTCTTAGAAGGTATCATTTGCCAAATTTAGTCTTGCATTAACAAGTACGCTTAGACGGTATGTCATTCGCCAAAATTAGTCTCATCTTAGCAAGTAGTAGCCCCGCCCACCCATCCATTATTTTCTTGAGGGTATATCATTTTATCTTTTAAGAGAGGGTGGGTGTGTGGGGCTAGTACCCGCTAAGATAAAACTGATTTGGCAAATGACATACCTTCTAAGAAAAGAGAGTGTGGGTGGGTGGGGTTAGCACCTTCTAAGATAGAACTGATTTTGGCAAATGACATACTTTCTAAGAAAAGAGAGGGTAGGTGGGTGGGATTAATACCTGCTAAGATAAAACTGATTTTGGCAAATGACATAGCCTCTAAGAAAAGCCGCTCTTTATTTTCTTAGAGAATATGTCATTTGGCAAAATCGATCTTAAACTCAACTCAAGATAAGAGAGGGTGGGTGGGGCTAGTACTTATTAAGGGAATACTGATTTTGGCGAATAACATACTATCGAAAAAAAGAGAGGGCGGGTGGGCGGGCCTAGTACTTACTAAGATAAGACTGATTATGGCAAATGATACACCTTTCTATTTTCCTAGAAGGTAGCATTTGCCAAAATCACTATTGCCTTAACAAGTACGCTTAGAAGGTATGTCATTCCCCAAAATCAGTCTTCTCTTTGCAAGTAGTAGCCGTGCCCACCCGCCCGTTAATTTCTTAGAGGGTATGTCATTTACCAAAATCACTGTCGCATGCAATCAACTAATTTACTAAAATAAGATTGACTTTGACAAATGATACACTGATACACCCTTCTAATATTTTCCTAGAAGGTATCATTTGCCAAAATCAGTCTTATCTTAGTATGTAGTAGCTTGCCCGCCCACCCGCCCATTATTTTCCTAGAGGGTACATCATTTCAAAAAGTCAGTCTCATCTTAATAAATGCTAGTCCCGCCCACCCGCCCTCTATTTTCTTAGAGGGTATGTCATTGTAGCCATCGATTTTGGCGTAATTAATTACATTCGATGACTTTCAAACAGTTCGGACAAATCTAAAAAGCTAGTTAAAAGCTTAGAAATCTCTATTATAAATCGGAAAAAAATAAGCACGCAATTTTAACTTTATTTACTGTATGGTCGCGGGGTGAGAAGATAGAAAAAAGAAACTGAAGCTGTACTTTCTTTGAGAAAAATATATTAAAATTATTTTTGAATATACCGGGTGTTTTATTTTTGAGACATACCACACGACTTAGCTTTTTCAATTAGAACACCCTATATATTTTAACATATTCTAATTTTTGAAATTCCGATGCCACGTTGCCACATTATTCCAATTTTCTTGAATTTTTCATTAATTTCAATTTACTCAATTTTTTGTTTGCTTGCTATCAAAATATCTCTCAAAAAAATAAAAAACTGCAATAACTATTAACGAAAATTACTTTAGTGTTACTCGTTTTTTTTTATTGCGACCCTCTATAAATTCGAGAGAAACCGCAGCCAGTGTACTGCTTAGAGCAAGCACAATGTTGGAGTCGATCTCGCCTTAAAGTAAACAAACTTTTGAAGAATATGTTGGTTTTTGTATTTCAAATTAATCGGTGTCTTAATAGTCTTCCAGTTTTAATGTTCATTATCCCATCGACTATGCAAATTTTGGAAAACTTGAACCATAATTTAAGCGGTAATTTTTATTACAAAGTAAATACCACTTTATATGGAAAATTATTTACATAATCCCGTCCTGTTTAAAAAATAAATTCAAAACTGTCGTCAGTTTATACATAACAGTTGTTAGAAAATAAATTTAAAATAATATTTCTGAGAGCTAATTTTTGTGAATGAAATAGTTACAACCTCCGCTTGTATCATCTCATTCATCTCTGTTCTGACCTAACCTAACTTAGTTAACCCCTTCTAAATCATATTGTTTACAATATTTAACTCTGAAGAGAAATTCTCACCACCCCAAGCTTTCAATTACCGATCATCAAGTATCACAAAGAGGTCATTTTGGTCAAAAACGAGTCAGCAAACTAAACACTGCCACTCATTAAAACGATATCCTCTCCAGTTTCTTTCGGCCTCCACAACAAAAAAACACACAAATGATTGCTTTACCTATGGTACCAATGAAGACAATTTGGGTGATGGAGTAGGTGGCCTCGTGCGGAGCCTGGATGACAGATGTGTTCTCCGTCGACGACGTGTTCATGTTGTCACGAGGACCTGCAGGCTGGACGCCGCATGTTGCTCCGCCCCTTCTATAAAGATAAAACAATGCCATTTAATATAGTGTGAAAATTAAACATGCAAAGCGTTAACAGAACACCGTTACACACAACGCACTAAACTGCCAGCGTTAGCGTTATTTTTAGAATTTAGTCTGATAGCGTGCAGGAGGCGGCAAAGCATCGAGGTATTTAAGAACTTCGTGGATTAAGCTTGGCGGTCGTCAAACACTGGACAGGTTTGTCTTTATTGCTTGACTATTTTCCGGAATACAACCCTGAAATTTACGCAAGTTTCTTGTTACAGATTGACACTAATAGCCTATAAAATTTTACTGCATACAGAAATATTCCTTCTAGATGAGAAATCAATGTCGCAAAAAACTCTGAAGTTGAGTGATTCTAAACAGATCGATTTGCAAACATCATTGGTTCTAATCAAAGAATTCTCTAACCTTTAGCCATTGAGCGAGTTTATGGCAGTTTTACAGCTAATGTAAATAGTAAAACTTGTTTCAATTGATAATAAAAACCAAGTGGGTGAGTATCGATTATAAATTTCAAAGTGGCATGTGATTAGTGTAATTGAGATAGATTCTAATTAGGGAACAGCTCCGTGCTGTAATCTGTCTAATACTAATGCTAACTGAAAATGCATTTCTAATAGTCATTAATGGAACATTTGCATGTGTTATGCGGCTTTGATTGATATTAAAGGTTCAGTAAACAAAAAAAAGAAACAACTCTGTACTGAAAACAAATTTTACACGAGAGAATCTAACTCATGATAAAAAAAAATGATAATATAATCAACTTGTCAGTTGGCTGTCAATAAACGACGACTTTGCATTTCGACGTAATCGTACAAAATCCGTTTGAATCATTCCCCAAGACGTTCTGTCGGCTCCGCAATGAATAAGAAAATGAGGTTACGTTACCTCGAAAACGAAACACTATTTCTTCGCCCCTGATGCTCAATGCTGATTGTTTTTCGTGTTTTCTGGCGTTCTTCGAATTTCGTAATGTTTTTTTTTTTAGAATCCATTTCCCTCTGTCCTTTAGTTTACAAAAAAGAAATGGAAAATGTAGTGAATTTTACTTCCCGAGCGTAAGCTAAGTAAGTATAGTAATCTAGTCCATCGACCGAATTGCCACTTTCATTTTTTCTGGACGTGCCATGATCTCAAGAGTACGAAAAAACTGGTCTCCAGTTTCCGTCTGTCTATCTGTCTGTCGGTCTGTCTGGTGTCTATATCCATTTATATCAGACAAGTAATCTCCGAAACTACTGGAGCGATTGTTGTCAAATCTTGTATGTATATTAGGTATATCATGTAGATGGTTAAATGCTAAATAAAATTTGACCAATCATCCCCGCCGCCAATTATCCAAAATGTACAAAATATGAGTCTATACTTATGATTTATTATTGCATTAAAAGTTCTTAAATTTCTTATATAGGGTTAATGAAAGAGTCAATTTATCATTAGTATTACACTACGACTACACCTACCCAAAGTAATATCGTGTGTTTGAAAAAATGTTGATGACGTCATCACAAAATTTTGTTAAGGGAAAACTCATTTGGAACATACGCCCAGCATGCTTCTTTACATTTACTATAACGTAAGGGTTCTCATAAAAAAAAAATCGCATAATCAAATTTTATAATTTTTCGAAAAAGCTGAATTTGTTTTATTTTTTATTTTTTCTTACGAATTTGTATTTTCATGTTGATCTCCCGTTTCCATTTGTTTGTCCATATGTCTGTAGTCCTTCTGTTGAAGATTTATTAGACACAATTTCTGAATAAAATCAAACCGACTACTTTTAAATTTCAGATATAGATTAAGGTTATCAATATAAGTATACAAAAAGAAAAGTCCTGACTCACTCACTAATTGACTGACTCATCAACGCCTAGCCCAAACTCCTGGACCTAGAAAGCTGAAATTTTACACCGACATTCCCTTTAGAATGTAGACAAGGTATAAGGCCAGATTCTTTTTAAATTCTTTCCCCAGAGGGTAAAATAGGGGATGAAAATCTTAATGTTCATTTCATCCTACATTTTCAAAGTAAAAGCTTGAAATTTAATAAATAGGGAATGAAAATATTTCTGCACTTTTGGAAACTGCACCCCTAATAAGAAGGTAAAATATGGAATGAAAGATTGCATGTAGAAGTAAAAAAAAAATACTTAGTACGTCTATGTTTCACAAAGAATGAGTGGTATCCTTTGGCGGATGACATTTATTTAGTTAGTTAGTCAATCAGTTTACTCTTTTATATATACAGGGTGAGTTACTAAGACGCATTCCTCGATGTTTCAATAATTATTAGAAATAGAAAAGAAGTCAAAGACCAAAGTTGAACGGTTCTTTGAGGACTATCCTCTAAAATTATTTTTAATTATAACGAGTGTTCTGGAATTTATTTTTTTTAATCGAACAGCCTATATAACTTTACCTATCTTAATTGACCTCTTCTTAGGCTTTACATCCATAGTTTATATTTGAAATTACGATGCGACTTTGTGTTACATTTTCATATACAGAGTGTTTATAAAAATGGTTTATTCATTACAATTTTCTAATATCGATATTTCAGTGTCTTCAAATAGAACACCCTATATTTTATTATTGCATTTATTCTGTTTTTTGTTCTTTTTTTATGAGTATTTTCTTTATGTTATGCCTTAAAAACAGAACACTTTGTATAGTGTGTAAAATGATTTTAGAGTATATTCCTCACCCCCTTTGGTCTTTAACTTTTTCTAGTGACTCAACCTGTATATATAAATATGTTTAACAGCATTAAATTTCATATGGCAGATAAACAAGGGGTGCCGCATATACAGGGAGAGCGTTCCTCGATATCTCATTGACTATTACAAACAGAAAAAAAAAACAAAGTTGTGGTTCTTTCAGAACTATAGTCTAAAATTATTTTTAGCTGTAGAGCTACACACAACTTAGTTTTAATGAAACAGCCTATATATTTCGAAATGTTTTGGTTCACTTGTTTTTAGGCTTTACAACTACAGTTTATTATTGAAATTCTAATGCAACGTTGCCACGTTATTCCAATTTTCTTGAATTTTTTAGCAGTAGAAGGGTTCAAAAAAAAAATCGCAGAAGGGTTATTTTTAAAATCTGTGTACCAATATTTTGTGGAGTAATAAATAAAGGTACACGCTTTGTTGTGGCATAACTGAAATGATATTCTCTGATACAGTGTTTATAAAAAAAATGCATTATTACAATTTTTAAATATCGATATTTTAGATTTTTAGAATTTTGTTTAATTGATACCACATGAAAGCACCTAGCTTTATTTATCCTTTTTTGTGAACCTTTACATTACAAAAAAAAAATCTACAGAATTGGAATAATGTGACAACGTCGCAACGGAATTTAAAAAAAAAGTTATGGTAATAAAGCCTAAGAAGGGGCTAATGAGAATATCTAAAACTATAGGTTATTTCATTAAAAAAAAACTAAGTTGTGTATTACTTCTTAAATACAGAATACTCTGTATAGTTAAAAATAAATTTAGACTATAATCTTCAAAGAACTGTACAACTTTGATCTTTAGATTTCTTCTACCTTTAATAAGAAAAGAGATATCGAGGACCACGATTCACCCTGTATAGTTTGTATATATTTATCATCACACCTTATACAGCTCCTCTTTAATCTTGTTCTTTGTATAACATAACTTTTAAGAGATTGTCTATTTCCGTTCTAAAATCAGAAGTAGGAACTTCCAGAGATACAAGATCCAAGTTTAAAAGAATACAACTAAATTTTCGTGAGCCAAGCCACGGGCAGAATTCAACGTATTAGAAGAATGAGGACAAAAAATAGAGTAAGATTCACTAATAAAATACAGGATGTTCCATTCGAACAACTGAAATATTCATATTTGAAAATTATTTTTTATAAACACTCTATAGATTAAAATTTGATTTAGTTGATACCGCGTCCTTTATTTATCCTTCCACAAAATATTGTAAGACAGACTTTGAAAATAATCCTATTGGAACTGGAATAACCTGGCAACGTCGCATCGGAATTTTAAAAATAAACTGTAGTTGTGAAGCCTAAGAAGAGATCAATTAAAATATGTAAAGTTATATAGAATGGTTCCCTTAAAAAAAGAATGGTGTGTTATGCCTTAAAAACAGAACACTCTCTATAGCGTGAATAGTTAAAAACACTTTTAGAGTATAGTCCCCAAAACCGTACAATTTTGGTCTCTAACTTTTTCTAATGACTCACCCTGTATATATAAATATGTTCAACGACACTAAATTTCATATGGCAGATAAACAAGTGATGCCGTATATACAGGGAGAGCGTTCGTCAATATAGTATTGATAATTAGAAACAAAAAAAAGGTAAACACCAAAGTTGTGTGCTTTTTCAAAACTATACTCTAAAATTATTTTAAGCTATAGAGCTGCACACACCTTAATTTATTTTTAATGAAACACCCTATATATATTTAGTTATTTTGGTTGACCTGACTTAGGCTTTACAACCACAGTTTATTTTTTTAATTCTGATGCGATATTGTCACGTTTTTCCAATTCTGAATTTTTTATCAATAGAAGAACAGAATGTTTATAAAAAATGTTTCATTATTATAATTTTTAAATATCAATATTTTAGTTTTTTCAAATAGAACACCCTATATTTATTACTGCATCTGATTCTGCTTTTGTTATTGCAATTTTTTACTTTTTTAAGAGGCACATCGACATATTAGAATAATGAGAACAAAAAATAGAGTAAGATATAGTAATAAAATATATTCTATTTGAAAAAACTGAAATATCGATATTTTTAGAATTTTTTTGTAAATATTCTGTATTTTAAAATTTTGTTTAATTGATACGACGAGAAAGCGCGTAGCTTTGTTTATCCTTTTTTGTGAAACTTTACATTACTAAAATCAACAGGATTGGAATAAGGTTACAACGTCGCAACGGAATTTTAAAAATATGTTATGGTTATAAAGCCTAGGAA